CCCAAGCACCCCGCATCCCGCTCCCCACCCCTCCCCGCCGCGCCGCCGCCGCGCCGCACGACAGGTCAGCATCCCTCTGGCCCGGGTGGACGGCCTGCCCGTGGGCCTGAGCCTCTTGGGGCCGCCGGGCGCTGACGAGGCGCTCATGCTGCTCGCAGAGCGACTCGCGGGCGCGGTCGGGCTGCCGCCTGTGGCGCCGGCCGCGGTGGCGGCGCCCGCGGGTGGCGAGTGACCTCGAGGGCGGAGGGTTTTGACATCAAGACATTTTTGTCCGGTCGATAAGGGCCACACGGCTGGCTGGCGTGCTGCAGCCGGCTGCGCTTGACCGGTCACCGGGGTGGCATCCCGCGATTGTGCCCATCGTGGTGGCGCTAGGTGTGTTGTGAACGTGTGTAATTGTATGGAGGGCAGCGAGCGGCTGCATGCTCTGCCGGCAGTGTGAACAGCCGCGCAACCTTTGGGGTTGGGTGTCCCCTGCAGCTGGCTGCATTCCAGCTTGGCACGTCCGAAGCCCTTGCGCTGCATCGTGAATGATACATGCAAATAAATATTTCTAAGCACAGGATCAGTAGGCACGCGTGGCGCTGCTGCGGCACTGCTCGTCCTCGCGCTGCATCAGCGCACCATGACGGTGCAAGCATGCCGCCGCTGTGTGCGTCGGCGCGCCCGCCGGTCGCAGGCACAAACCTGATGGCTCTGTTCCGACGAACGTGACACGACGTGCTTCTTCGAAAAGCCTTTCGGCTGCAAAGAGGGCTCACGGAGACCAGGTGACTCCAGAGCTGCCAGTGGTGCAGATCCGAGCAAAACACGGAACCAGCGTGGATGCATGTGTCCTTTCACCTTGGTACGCAGCAGCAAACCAGAAAGCAGGCCGCAGCAACCATGCAGCTCAAGCAGCTCAACGCCGTGCGCGCGGCCAGGCCGGCCAGCAGGTGCGGACCTCTCGCCCCGTGCCAGGCCTCGTCAGTAGCTCTAGGAGGCGAGGTCCAGCTGGAGGATCTTTGACGCCGATCGTGTTGCAATGCCTCATTGGAGCTCCCGTCGCTGTGCTGCGCTCGCAGGGCCCGGGCCGTGGTGGTGAAGGCGAACAAGTCTGGCCAGGCTGCCGCGGCTGCCGTCATGGCGACCTCTATGATTGCCGGGGTGAGTTGCAACCACGAGAGCGCCTGATCCCTGCACGCTGCACGCTCGAGACCTGCAGTAGATCGTCACCACCGCGTTTTTCCGACCGATCTCCTCCGCTCTCCGCTCCCTCTTCTACATTCTCGCGCAGGCCGCCAACGCGCTCACCTACGACGAGCTGCAGTCGCTGACCTACCTCCAGGTCAAGGGCAGCGGCCTCGCCAACACCTGCCCGGTGCTGTCCAGCGGCTCCACCAACCTGAAGGACCTCAAGGCCGGCACCTACAAGCTGGAGCGCTTCTGCATGGAGCCCACCGCCTTCAGCGTGAAGGAGGAGTCCCAGTTTAAGGGTGGCGAGACCAACTTTGTGGCCACCAAGCTGATGACCCGCCTGACCTACACCCTGGACGGGGTGCGTGCAGTGCATGTGGCGACATGCGCGTGCGAGCCATGCATTGGGAGTCGCCGTCAGCATTCATGAGCATGGACATCTGGTCATGTGTCGCCCTGATTGGCCCGAATGAACGGGGGTCGCTCGCCGAAGCGGGTCTGGTTCGCTGCATCGGGGCCAGGTGGCGCTGCCATGGTGGCGGACGCGGCCGGCCGTGTCAGCAGCGGCGCTGCGCCTCTGGGGGAATGAGGCAGCCGCAGCTGCTCAGCAGCTTCCACAGCCGATCTGTCGGCCCGAGATCCGCGCGCCGCACGGCCAGGGTGACGCCCATGGCTTGCCCCAGCACCGGCCTGTTTTTGACCCGCGGCCCGACGCCTCCCTTCCCTTGGTCCACCCCTCTCCCCCCCCCCCCCCAAAATCACATCATGA